CTTCTCATCACTGTTGGCTTATTTTCATACCTATTGTAATGTCCAATGTTTAGATTTGTACCTAAACTTTAAATACAGCATGTTGCTTGTTCAGTGAAGGTTTCTATCACCTAAAATAACCTTCAAGTCTTTAAATGACAGTCTGGCTGTTATTTTGATATCTAGGGCTCTATTTCATACCTCACATACTGCTTAGAAAATGCATAATTTTACGGCCAACAATAACATGAACATGTATGTGCTGCCGTGAGGCAATTGACAGGACATGGTGGAATTCATATCCTTAGTTATTAACAAAATAACAGGCTTCTTTTGTTCAAAAGCTGTGTAATAACATTTCACATAGATCAAGTATCAATTTCATGATTCCAAATCACAGTTTTAACTTTGGGACTTGGTCAAGTAATACACTTGAGTAGTTGTTTTATTGTAACTATGGCGATAAAGTAGACAACAAAATGGACTCGATGTTTGTGCTACATGCAGAAAACAGACAAAAAGTTGTTTGGTTTATCCAAATGGTATTTACTTTCACACCAGTGACAAAAACACCTGTTTCAAGTGACCTGCCCTTATTTCAAAGTACCAGTGAAGAAATGATCAAATTGTGTACATTCTTTGAAAAATGCTTTATAATCTCAGTGAAATTTTATACTTTCAATTCAGTGTGGTTTTAGAGGTTAAGTTTGTTTTGCGGTCACTCTCTCCATGTCCCATCTGTTCAATTTTATCAGGTGAATTTTGGAACACAGAGGGTGCTTTACTTTGATAAAGGCCATTAAAACACAATACAATCCTTAAGACCTCTTCAACACAGCCTTATGGGGGAAATTCCTCAACAATCCAAAAGAATCATCCCTTACAATCTAAATCACCCGACATATGGGACATTTTGACGCAGGACATAGAAATTCATTAAGTGACAAAAGGAGCCTTATCATGTCTGTAAAACTACATAAACAGGTCAATTCTTCAGCAATCCACAAGAATCACATGTATTATACTTCTAATGAACTAACATATGGCCATTTTTCAAGAACACAGGGATATTCAGAGAGCTACAAGAGTGCCCCCTTGAAGTACATGAAGAGGCCTAAGTATGGTAAACAAAGAATCAAAGACATAAGACCCCCTTTGAATACACCTCGGTTTGGTAAAATTTTCAGTCAGGGGAATTAGGTGAGAGAACCCATCTCAACAAGGTAGCTGAAGTACCCATGAAGAGGGGGAAACCCTGTAAATAAAGACAACAAGGCCATATGGCACTGGCAAATAACAACAATCAGGTGAATGGAGGCACTTGTGACACTGAAGTCCCGAAGATCTTTATTTCTGGCAAATTTTTCTTGCTGATGTCACATCAATATCAGCCAAATACAACATCAGAACATAACCTAGGATAATTAATGGGGAAAAACAAGAAACTTTCTTCCAATTCATTAGGTCAAATTAATCAACTTAGTTATTCATGATCACTTTCAGCTCTGATCGTCTGCTCAGCCTAACCCTGCCCCCTGGTGGTATGTTATAATTCCGCCACTCGCAGTGGCATATGGAGGTGTCAACACTTCACAATCATATCCTGTATCAGAGTTATTGATAGCCCAATGATATCCCAATTAATTAGCAGCATTAACATCCACCAATACATGACAGACCTCCCCTGCCAGGCAGAGAGGCTAGTTAAGGCCAAAACCATCACATATGGGCAATACCCCCACTACAGGCCAGACACCTGAAGTGGCTTTATTAACAGAACCAGGTAGCTCCCCACCAGGAAAGAAGGCCAGTTATAAGGGATAGCTGTACCTTAATGTTACTTATTGATACCACTAGAAATTATCTTTATTGCCATCTTCAGCCCCCTGCTGCGATAAGTCGAAATAATCATGACAAGACCATATGGGCGATGTCAACTTTTTTAGCATTAGGGTTAAGAACATTATTATGATTTTTCATCACCTTTCAACTCCCCACCCTGAATGATGGCTATTTATCCTGGTAATTAAGAAGCCAAAATATGCATCAAAATATCAAACCTGACAGCAGAAACATTGCCAAAAGATCCACTATGACTTTAATTTCATACTAAGAATCAACAAGAAGTAAAATTGAGCAGAATTATGTAATTATATTGGATAAGTGCCAGGCATTTGGTAAGAGGTTGTGTTTGTATCCTAAAACTGGCCCCTACATTACCCCAGATACCTCAATCTACATTTATAAAAGATCACCAGGGTTAAGTTAAATGAAGTGACAAAAAAAGGCATCAGTGGTATGCCAGGATAACAAGTAACGCTGTTTGTGACTCGATGTATCGAAGTGTTAAGGGGATTTGGGCATCTGGGCACACGTGGGCCGTAATGGAGGGCAGGGCATCAGTTCGGATGCAATGAAGCTGCTAACCAAATCATCCCACCTCGGTGAAATGTCACAGCTTTTATAACCCATTGAACACGAGACGAGTCAAAAAGTATTTGTACTGGGCGCAAAATGTTGACAGCTTCTATTTAATGTGCATATTGTCCTGTCGTGAATGGCTGTTGATCTAGATGGCCCGAAGAAAGCATTGAGACCTGCAGGATCATGACAAATATAATACGAGGAGACAATCAGGATCATTGACTACCATACAAAGATAACTTCATGCACCTGCCAAGCAGTAAACAACTCGGGAAGTATCAATGCCGGTATAATGTTAGAAGAAAACAAGAAAACAAGGATCATTCACTGCTGAACAAGAGCACCAGCTCCAGAGGCAGGCAACTCCATGCACCTGTGAAGTGGTAAACATCTAAGGCAACTTCCGAGGGTTGACACCATTGTCCTCATGCTTATTTAACAAATGGACAATACCACCTGTTTGTGTGTCTTGGCCGAATATCACCAATCCTGATAAGATCATTCCTTCGAAAATAACTCCTTGCCCAAGGCCATGGGGATATTGTCATAAAACGCTAGACGTAATAGCCTGGAGATCTGTCAAAAGAATCATGGCTGGTTTTGTTATGGGTTGAATTCTTTCTCTGAGTAACAGGTGTTTTCTAAGTCCCCAAAACGTAAAATACTTGTTTACCGTCAACTTCAGTCACGGCTGTCATTGATTGGTCACAATGATGCAAACGAAAACAACAACACTGCCAATAATGGTATGTGTTTAACAACCAAACAATCCAACAATTCCCCTTCCTTGGGTTCAGAGCGTAGGTTGGCCCTCTCATAACATATGCCTTATCAACCCCATCAACACAAAACTGTCCTCAAAATACAGATCATATTTATTTTTCTTGGACCTTTTTCTCCATTTATCCCCGGTTGCCTAACAAAACTTATGAACGAAGCAACTCCGAAAATAGAGATGGTGGAACCCCCAAAGAAAACAATACAGTACCCGGTTTTCCGATTCTCCAAAACCTGCCAACTGGAACATTGGGGTCACTCACCTGCTAAATGGCCTAAAAGATGAAAATGAGCCGATCTTTTGTTTTAAGAGCCCCGAATTAAGCTTGTTTATGTACATTGTAACTAACTTGTATACAAAAGGTGTTACCCTTGATTTTGGAAATTGGTGATTCAATCCTGGCCGTTTGGTCTTCATTTTGATCAACTCTGGACTTATTTTAGGTTACTCAGTCATCCAGGAAGAAAGCGTTCAAGTTCTGATGATGTTCAGGTGAAGATGAAAATCAAATTTTATCACTGTGAATCCCCACCCTATGTGTCATCAATGAAAAGAACTGTTTCTGTTTTCTCACACTCCGTAACTCGGCCTCTAGGTATAGAAGGTAATTGGGAGCAGAAGCAGACGTCATCGTCTTGTCCAATATTTGGTGATTTATTTATTTATTTACACCCTTCCTGCACTGGAAGATGAGTTCTGTGCATTATCTTTTCTCTGATTTCATTCCCAGTATTGTCATACAAAATAGATTTTTTTCTTTGATTTCTACCCATCTCATGAACTTTTTCCCCTATAGTGTAACTCTTCCATATCAATGTCTTCACCTTCTTTCCATTTGTGCCAAGATTAGTTCTAAAATACCCTGAGTAAAACTGTTCCAAATCTCTGGGTTTAATCCTTAAATGTCACACACTTCACCTAGACAGTCTCTGCGAGGCGAATTACAGCACTCTCTCAGGACGTAATTAACTTCATAAATTTAAGTGTTGCTGTAACCTGAAGTCAAAGAGTCTGGAGCAGTCGTGAAAAATATTCCTGAGGTATGACATCATCCTCAATCAGGGCACCTGTATTAATTTATGGAATCTTAATGTTCATGTCATACGTCTCATTACTGGGCCAAGTAAAGTTAATTAATATGCGGAGGAATGGGGCTGGTTGGATAGGAAGAAAACTACTGGGCCTAGTAGCCCACTTGGAACCATGTGAAAAGACTGTGTGTGGATCAGTGTGGAAAACTTTGAACCACACAGTACAATGTAGAGACCTCTCATCCATTTGACACAGTGTGGAAAACATCCAAACACCAGAGAACTTTCCCATGAGATAGAGTCCCCTTGCAGCTGAACACTTACTAGGACTGTTACACTTATGCCATGAAAATACAACAAAGCTATCTTATCCACCATCTCATCGTATCGTTTTCAAAAACACCATTATTTAACCTGAATAGATGTTGTTATTTGTAGATTACCTGACCCCGTTTTCTTTCATCTATGTACATTTCATTTTGTATATTTCAAATTAATGGGGACAAAACAAAAAACCACCCTCTGGCTTACGTCTGTAGTTTGACAAAAAAGTAGTACGCCCAATACTTAAGCAATGATATTTTATAAATTGGGACCATTATAATAACATTATGTTTGCTGTTGCTCTGTTGATAAGTGGTTGGGAACTGTCTTAATGGGTTATCTTTCATACTTGCTCAAGTTTAGGCACCTGCTCCCCTCCTGCTTTGATATTTCATAAACAGAGAATTTAATACCACAGTTATTTTCTTATAGCATTTTTTGGTCAGAATACAAGTCTTACTCACCCATATCGCTGAAAGTCCAAGAGATTTGGTGGTGGTGTAGGCGGCCTACATGAACCATAGTAACTGCTGGTATCAGACCCATCAACATCTGTCTGCGTGCCAACAGACACGAGCGTGGGCGACCTATTCCTCATCTGGCTGCTGTTACTGCTACTGTTACTGATGTTGTTACTGTTTTTGTTCACTCTCCTTAGAACCTCCACTATGATCGGCTCCTGGGCACCATGAAATGCCTCCACAGCTTCTTCGTGCGATGCCTTGGACAAGTCCTGTCCATTTACCTAGAAAGACACAAAATAAAAATAGCCATTAATTTGTGCTGTTATGTTATAACTATATCTCTATGTATCAGGGCTGGGACATACAGTCAAATGAAGACCCACAGCCCATCTCTTAGTTTACTGGAAACATAAGCTGCCTTTTATCCTTCCATCATAGGTATGACCTTGAAGTTGCCTTTTCTAAGAAAAAAAAGAGAATCTTACATCATACAAAAGAAGAGATCCCATTGCGCATGGAATTGTATAATGTAAAAACTACTTCAACAATTGTGGTTTGCCATCCAGTTCATAAGTCTACCCCTGTACACAACTAAGTGAAGTCATTACCATCATGAAACACAAGCTGCATCATAACCTATGATGCCAACAATAAAGATAACACAATAAACCCCCTGAAGTAACTTAACATCATCATGCTTACAATGCATTTCAGTAAGCTCTTCATTTTCCTCTTAAATCTCGTCTTAGCCATTCTGCTAGTCTGTGTATATCCTCCTTTCAATAAAAAAAAATCCTTTCAGTATAAAAGTCTAGTCAGACATAAAAATCCTCCTTCCTCAAATCAGTAACCACACGTGCATACCAGTAGAGCAGTGTGTGTACACCAATATGTATATATATGCGTATGACAGAGTGTGCTCTCTCTTCAATGCCTGGGTTTCAACTGAAGACCAGCTGTATTGACACTAGTGTTAAAATCCTTCACTGCTGCACCACAATAGCCAGAGAGAGTAAACAGCCCGGTGTACTCATGTGTGTAATGTGATGGGGACCCTCACACAACATTGAGGTATTCAGGCCGCTGATGGGGCCCTCTGAGTGGTTAACACCAGCTTAATGGTTAGCCAATGGGGGTACAGGAAAGGTGAGATTAGAGGCCAGGACCAGGAGGGCTCAGTGGACATGAAAGAGGACACAGTCAACACTGCTATTACTTAATGTGTGGAAAATCCTTTGGGAAAACAGTAGGCTTAAAAAATTTTATCCTACTGCGCTAAATTTTTCTGGTATTGTTTGAGTTTATTTTGGAGGTGCTTGGTGAATAGCACAATGCCGGCTGTTTCCTTTTTCAGCCTTTGATGCATTGTTGAAGTGGAGAGATAATGGGAAAATTTGAGACTAAACAAGTTTGTGGGGTTGTGGGTTTGCTTTGTTTGAGGATTTAAAGAAAAGACAATATAACGCGAATGTGCTGACTGCATATTTTCTTTAAAATAATCATTATTGCTATTATTTCTATATTAGCACAGTCGAATACAATGGTTAACAATAGCAACAGATGTGCAATTAAATATATTTAAAAGAAAAAGAAAATATTTTGAAAACAGTATCATATAATATATAATTATGTATAATAAAAAGTTGAATATTTTGTGTTCAAATTTTTCGGGTAATTTACATGTTTAATAAAGGGTTACTGTTAATTATAGCAATTAAACAACATATAATAAGTAGTCTTCCCTTGCCTTTCTTTTTCTGGTTTGAACATGGGACTGGATGATGTGAAAATTTAAGGGTTAAGACTTGAGAACTATATGGCGTATCTTTATAAACAATAGACAAAAGGTCCAATCTCCCAATTTCTTTCCTTTGATGTCCAAAAAAGCTAAATGGACATAAGTGGTGTAAAACCTCTCACTAGCTATGTATAAACTCCCCAACCTCTCACTTCACATACCAAGAGCTGTTAACTCATCCATCATGCACGGTCCAACAACAACCATCTAAACAAAGACAACTTTCCTTATCTCTCCAGGAAAACAACTGTCCCCTTATCACCACTGGGCAGTGTCCAGTCCAGCACACACACAAACTGACCATCTCTAGGGTCTTTTCTATCCCATGGACAGTACAAGTTACTGACCAACTGTTTACATTTTATTCAGATTCAGATTCTTTACAGATAAACACCTTCACATAAAAAGGTACAATGACAGCACAACTAACCATAACATATCACAAAAAATATGCATCTTGGGCTGTGGTCATACTTAATTTTGAAGGACTGCATCAGACTTGGATAAAGAGATAACAGCAATCATTGTATTATAATCAAGCTGTTGGTGCAAAGCAAGAATCCATAAATTGCTGTCCATATATTTGTATAATTGTAGCATTCAGTGTGCAGCATTCTAAGATCATCATAGTTACATAGTTGCTGTTTGTGTAATATGGATCGGATTGGATCGAATTCAGTCTTGTCTGAACAAAGCCTTAACGTGTGTGTGTGTGTTTGTGTGTGTGTGTGCGCATGTGCATGCATGTATGAGTTTACAATTAATGCCTACATTAAGTGGCCCAGGCCTCAACAGGTCCCCCAGCTCTCTCAGTTAGCCCATTATTCCTGAGCTCTTATCTCTGTACTTTATCAACTTTCTAATAAGAGGAGAGGGGGAGAAACATCAAAGACATGACACAATGGCCCTGGTCTGTGCACCCTGCTGTTCCAATAGCAAGGTGTGTCAGCCTCTCTCTACTGTTATCTCCAAGTTCCAATATGCTTCACAGGGTGGTGAGATATACTACAATGGAGGGAGCTCTTTGATTTCTGTAATTATGAGGAGGGCTGAAAGAAGGGGGTGTGGCTGAGGAAGCGGGAGGGCAGGTGGGGGTGGGGGCGTTAAAAACAGCTTAATTAATTCAACTGTTAGATTTTTCCTGGTTTTTGTGGAGTCTTCTCTTTGAGTGCAATCTGCAGGCAGTTAACTGTTACCTGTGAAAACTTCCTGATTAGAATGTTATCGTGTTGTTTGTGTTTCCCTAACACACTGCTGCTGATTTTATAACAAGAAAAGATTAACTGCACTTTAAATTATTACAGCTATTTCTACACTAGCCTATAAAAAATTCCCTTGTTTTGTCTACTGATACTGAAAATGAACACAGGCATTACACAACATTAGCTGTGTAACACCAGAAGCCTAGCTGCTTCCTCCATGTCAAAGATCACACTTTAAATTGGGACATATAAACAGGACCAGCTACCAAATTCTTCACTTTAACAAAACCCTCCGCCTACACACCAGTGTAAGTAGATCTCCACATCAGTGACTTCCCATAATGGCAGAGGCTGCTCTCTTACTGTTTGTATTTCCACTGGAGTGAGCACAGATGAAATGGTGAGAAACCAATACCTTCTGATCCATGACTGCTTCATATTTGCATGTGACATATTTTTTATCCTTGTATATTTTTTACTAAATGCAGCATGTTACACACATCTTCTATCAATATAGTTACTCTAGTATTATCAAAAACCTAACACAAAGCTTAAGCTATTTTGTTACAAATTTTTTTCTTGTTGTGTTCAATAACCCTAAACTGTAATATTTTTTTTAAAAAATCCATACAAGCAAAACCCTTTTGCTTTTTTTTCTAAACTTTTTGTATAAGGGAGAAGAATGTGACATTCTGCTGAGAAATACCCAACATAAAAATTTGACTGTTATTATTGAAATCCCTGCACACCTGTCCCTGCTGTAATGTGAGGCAACATATTCAGCTTACCTGGGTCTTTTTACATCTAAGAGCCTGACCTTACTCTACATAAAGCCACATTTGTTTGAACAAAGATATTAATGCATTCATCCAAACACATTCATTACAGCAATAATACAGGTACACAAATAATAACCATAATACATAATTTGGCAACAATTGATACTCCCGACTATGAAGTCAAAAACTTGAGGAGAAACAAACAAATGCAACGGATTGTTATGCTGCATAAAGCCAACCCCCTACTTTGCAACACAGAGGCTGCATAGAGAAGTTCCTAATCAATATAAACAATTAAATAATGAAAGAAATGAGAAAGAAATGTCCTCCTATCTCGGGTAGCATCTCGGCTGAGAAACATTCATCTGTTTCACGGCTCTTGGATTTCTTTAGGAAATGAACAGCAAAATAGGTGTAGGTAAATAAAGCCACCAGCAAGATGAGTAGGTAGCCAGGTGGGGGGGTATTAAATGGTGACAATCAAGGGGAAAATTGAGACCTTAAGGCAGTGAAAGGAGTCCACCAGGGAGATTTTCTAGTTTATGCCCTCTGGCAATGGTCAAGATACAAAAACAACTTCATTGGGAGTTTTAGGGGGATTTTTTCCTGTGACAGATCAAAGGTCGGATCAAAGGTCGTGATCACAGGTGACTGCACTACCGTGTCTGGGTAGATCTGGACAAAGACACCTTCATATTTTTTTTTACAAATTCATACCCAAAAAGATTTGGCATGAAAACAGCCAGATTATCACTTTTCATGGAGCTTTCCTATCTGCTGGTCCAGCATTTCTGTGAGCATCTTTGTAATCATAACTAATAAAAAAAATTTTCGACACACAATCCTTATTCTTTTATACTCTTATCATGAGATTTAATCTTATCCTCATGCACTTACCTCTTTCTTATTGAAACCTCTTTTAATTGCATTCATAACAATTCCAACAACAATTTCCAGAAAACACAGGATTAGCAGTGCTGAATTATTTCACAATGTTTCCTTGTTATCAACTCCAGTTGAAAAATCACAAAATTGCGTTCGATTTCCACTTAAATACATACATATCCAAGGTGACGAGCATTTTTTCACTGATGACAACTCTACTGATGGCAAAACACAAGACACAAACACCTCCTCCAAAAAACGCCCACTTTCTAAGCAGAAATCCAATGCAGAATTGTGTCCATAAATATGAGAATTCACATAACGAACGTACTGTATGGATTACAACAGTCTGGTCACCCAGGAATCCATATCACAAATGAAACAGGGCCAGGTATCAGGTGGTTTGTCTTCTGTTCTTACCTCTCCAGCATTGATTTCCTCCCCACCAAGTGGACAGGTATGATATAACAGTGCAAATTATTCATTAATATCAAATATATGCAGTGTAACTTGTTATGATCAGAGTGATTGAAGGAGATGGTGTGTGTGTGTGTGTGAGTGTGTGTATGTGGGCATACATGTCTACATGTGCATGTGTAATGTGTTCTAATTTGTGC